TCACGCCCGTCCCCCCACCCAGGCCTGAAGCCCTACAAGAACTTCGAGATCGTGGGCCGCTTCCCAGTCCAGGAGGTGGATGGCCAGGGGCCGCCTGCGGCGAAGGCACCCAGGCAGGACCCGCTGCCTGCCGGCTTCATGCCCTACCCTCCCTACCCCCCGTGCCCACCCGGCAGGAAGGGGGACCTGGGGCACCCGGGCCTGCGGCTGGCATACGGGGAGGAGGGCTGGAAGGGCCCCACACCCGTCCACACGACCCCCGGGCCGTACCAGGTGACTGGGAGCCCCGGCGGGTGGGGCCAGCCTGGCCCACTGGGGGCCAGGGCGGGGACCAGCCTCCTCCCCACCCCAGCTGTTCCACTGCAGGAGGGACGAGTACCCGCCCCCAGCCCGCCAGCTTGGGACACTGGACGTGGGCCGGTTCCACAGGCTGCCCCAGCTGGACCACCCCAACCTGATCCAGCGCAAAGCCATCTCAGGTGGCCGCGCTGGGCCTGGGCGGGGCTCCCCGAGCGCATGGCCCCAGCAGGTTCAGGGGTGGCTGCAAGGGAGGGCGACTGCCTGGGGCCCCCTCCCCGCCGGGCGTCCCTGCGCACGGCCTGGCCGCAGGTGGGGGGCGCGGGGGCCTGCTGCGGCGGGCAGGACAGGCGCTGGACCTGGCCGCCTCCGCCCCAGGCTACGCTGGCTTCGTTCCCCGCTTTGCGTGGGTGATGGGGGTGAGCTACCGCGACGGGGTCACACAGGCCATGGACGAGTTCGACAAGGACCAGGTAGGACACCAGCCCCGGGGCCCCAGGGACGGGAGGGCAGCGGGCAGGGCCACGTCCTGCGGCCGGGCTCCAGGCTGAGGCGCTGGGGACAAGGGCAGCGCTCCTGCTCACCGGTCCCCCCACGCCCAGTTCCTCTTCAGAAACCCCGTCTGCGCCCTGGGGGAGCGGCTGCCCAAGACCCACTGGCCCAACACAGCCATCTACAGCAGCCGGGGCCTGATCCCCTTCTACATGGGGCTGGTGCCGTGTGAGTACGAGGGGCCTCGCCCGCCCCCGCGCCCGCGCCACGCAGCCCGCAGCGGCCCGCAGGGTGGGCGGTGGGCAGCCGGCGGCGGCTTCTGAGCAGCTCGCGCCCTCGCAGCCGCACAGAGCAACTACGGGCTGACCTTCGGCAGCAGCACGCGCAGGGCCTACCAGAAAGAACGGGAGAGGCGGCAGCGAGACGCTACGGACACGCTTTAATGGCGTCTGCGCAGCCGGCGCCGCCGGGATGAGAACGAGACAGCGCGCACGGACAGGCTGTGGGTGCTCGAATAAAGAGTCCGCAGGCTGCCGCGCCCCGGCCGCGGGCAGCTCTAGGCCACCTCCTCCTCCGCCTCCTCCTCGAACTCGCCCTCCTCCTCGGCCGTGGCGTCCTGGTACTGCTGGTACTCGGACACCAGGTCGTTCATGTTGCTCTCGGCCTCGGTGAACTCCATCTCGTCCATGCCCTCGCCCGTGTACCAGTGCAGGAAGGCCTTGCGCCGGAACATGGCCGTGAACTGCTCCGAGATGCGCTTGAACAGCTCCTGGATGGCCGTGCTGTTGCCGATGAAGGTGGCCGACATCTTGAGGCCGCGCGGCGGGATGTCGCACACGGCCGTCTTGACGTTGTTGGGGATCCACTCCACGAAGTAGCTGCTGTTCTTGTTCTGCACGTTGAGCATCTGCTCGTCCACCTCCTTCATGGACATGCGGCCCCGGAACACGGCGGCCACCGTCAGGTAGCGGCCGTGGCGCGGGTCGCAGGCGGCCATCATGTTCTTGGCGTCGAACATCTGCTGCGTGAGCTCGGGCACCGTCAGGGCGCGGTACTGCTGGCTGCCCCGGCTGGTGAGCGGCGCGAAGCCCGGCATGAAGAAGTGCAGGCGCGGGAAGGGCACCATGTTCACGGCCAGCTTGCGCAGGTCGGCGTTGAGCTGGCCCGGGAAGCGCAGGCAGGTGGTGACCCCGCTCATGGTGGCCGACACCAGGTGGTTGAGGTCCCCGTAGGTGGGCGTGGTGAGTTTCAGGGTGCGGAAGCAGATGTCGTAGAGCGCCTCGTTGTCGATGCAGTAGGTCTCGTCCGTGTTCTCCACCAGCTGGTGCACAGACAGGGTGGCGTTGTAGGGCTCCACCACCGTGTCCGACACCTTGGGCGAGGGCACCACGCTGAAGGTGTTCATGATGCGGTCGGGGTACTCCTCGCGGATCTTGCTGATGAGCAGCGTGCCCATGCCGGAGCCCGTGCCGCCGCCCAGCGAGTGCGTCAGCTGGAAGCCCTGCAGGCAGTCGCAGCTCTCGGCCTCCTTCCTCACGACGTCCAGCACGGAGTCCACCAGCTCGGCGCCCTCCGTGTAGTGCCCCTTAGCCCAGTTGTTCCCAGCTCCGCTCTGGCCTGCAGGAGAGCAGCCCTCACTCAGGCAGGGGTGTGGTCACCCTCAAAGGCCAAGCCACAGGTGCCGCCCAACACTGACCCACGGGGAGGAGCCTGAGGCCCAAGCTGGAGGCAGCAGCCAACTTGTCGAAAACTTGGGCTTGCGGGCAGGCAAGCCCCCTCCCCTCGCCTGGCCAATTGCCAAGGGCAGGTGACCCCACCGCCAGGGTGGTGCCGGCCTCCAGGGAGACTGGCTCTGCGGGGCCCCGGCAGGCGGACAGCTGAGCCTCCTCCCCAGAGCCTCTTTGGAGAAGAGATTGAGTGACCGAAGGGGGGCGGGGGAGCGCGCCGGAGCCGAGCCCAGCTTCTGCCGGAGACGGGGCCCGGAAGCCAGCTCTGCCCTTCTGAGGACGCTGACCTTGGGGCGGCCTCCGCCCTTCGAGCTTCCCCGGCTGCCTGGCGGCCCAGCCCCAGGCGCAGCTCACCGAAGACGAAGTTGTCGGGCCTGAAGATCTGCCCGAAAGGCCCGGAGCGCACGGAGTCCATGGTGCCGGGTTCCAGGTCCACGAGGACGGCGCGGGGCACATACTTGCCACCTGCAGGGGCCGCAGGGCGTTAGCTGCAGCGGGGCGGGC